TTTTTTTTTTTTTTTAAATCAAATAGATTTAATTTGGCATTTATAAAATTTTGTTTCCCTTCTGCTAATTGTACCATTAAGTATTACCTCCAGAAGTTGGAAAATCAGTGAAAAATAAGGACTGAATTGTTTGTTTTGCTGGTGTACAGAGTTTGCTATGTCCCTGCAACAAACGTATTTCTATTTTTGCCAGAACTAATCTAACAAATAAGTTGTCTCATCTAATTTTTCTAGTTCCCATTTTGATTGATGAAAGTATGGAAACACAAACACTAGGCATAACATCAAAAAGAAGATTAACAACCGAAGTTGAAATTAAGACAAGTAATTAACATGGGACAAAAATCACAGCCTAAGATTTAAGTCCAGCTTATTCATACTATTACTACTACTACTATTACAATTGATATTATTATTTATAATATCCTGGGATGCTTGTTTAGGCAATTTCCCAACTCTAAAACTTCCAGGCCAAACCAAATCCATGGTGTCTTCAATCAAGAATGGAACCGAATTCCATGGCATCCCGAATCCGGTTTCCGCCTCAGTAAACTTTGCAACCACTGCAGACCCTTCTCTGCATGGCTTGTGGACAAGCGAGTGAGGCCGGACACCGAGCGACCGGGCCGCCGGAGAAGTGAAGGGAGAGGGACTAAATCCCATTGTGTTCATCATCATCCTGTGAGACAATTGGTACCTTTTTGCAGCCCCTCTCTCTCTCTTGTGTGCATTCTGGTGACCTCCCAAGGCCTGAGAACTATAAAACTTCCTCATGCAGAAATTACAAGAAAAAACCTTGTTTGTACCAGTACTACTACTTGGAGGCCTTGGTGATTGTGGATTATGATCAATACATGAGTCTGTGGCTGTACTGAAAGACTGATTCATCTTGTTGTTGAGGCCTAGGCTCAGCCAGTCTCCCAAATTGTCATCATCTTGATCATCATGATCATCATCAGCTTGATTAGCTGATGATGATCCTCTCCCTTGATGATCATGATCCTCACTTGTTCTTGACTCCAAATCTAATTGGTTGTTGGTTTGATCTGAGATTACATGATTTGCAGCCTCCTCTTCTAGCTCACTGGTGAAAATCATTGCAGA